TTTCATGTCCAACATCTCGTCGACCCTGCACACCCTGCCCACGACGACGCCCGACGACTTTTTGAGCGGCGGCGGCGGCGGCCCAGGCTCGGGGGCGCTGTCGGCGCGCCAGCAGGCCGGGCTGAGCCTGACGCCGGACGTGGCGGCCATCGGTACGGTGTCGGCCGCGGTGGTGACCGGCTCGCCGGCCTCGGCCCGGCGCACGTCGTTCATCACCCAGCTGCGTCTGCCTTCACTGCTACCGTCATCGTCTCCATCATCATCGTCCAACAACAATTCCCTGCCGTCGCCTTCATCTTCTTCGTCTTCGGGGCCTCTTCAGTCACCATCGTCGTCGACGTCAGCGGCCTCGGCCTTAGCGGCGGAGCTGAGAGATCTGCGCGAGTCGGGAGACGCTTCGAACGGAGATGGAGCTGGAGGGCGAAGGTCGCGGGCGGGCTCGACAAGCACCAACGCCTCGGGGGCTACGACCACGGGCGAGGCCGAGGTGCCTCAGTCACTGCCAGTAATCGCGGTCACCTTCCCTTCATCATCATCAGCTTTCTCATCCATCTCGGAGGAAGGAGAGGGCGACGAACAGCTGTGGGTGCCAGACTCCAGGCAGCTGCCTGTGGGCTAAGGTGGACAGACCCTTCTCTCCCAGCTGATTCGAAAAAAAAATGCAAAAAAAAACTCAAAAAAAAGAAAAAATAGAATAACCACAAATCACCGAAGACAAGTGAAGATGGAAGGAGGGGCCACAGCTGAGGGGAAGAGCAAGGAGGGCAAAGGCGAGCCAAACGGTCAGCAGGTTCAGCAGCTTGCGTTCTCCATCTTTGACGCCGATGGCGACGGTCTCATCTCCCTTACCGAACTCGAGAACGTTCTCAAATCTGTTGGTAACAGCCCCCAAACGCCCTTGCAGATGTTGCATCTTTATTTATTGATCATAATTTATGTTGTTGATGTTATTTATATGTTATTTATATGTTATTTTCCACCCCCAGGCCAGAAGGTCAACAGGGAAGACCTGAAGACGGTGACCAGCGCGGTGCAGGACCTCACCAGGCAGAGGCTCGGCGTAGCGGCACCCCAGAAGGAGCAGAAGAGTAGTACGTTCATCTTTTTTCGTCATCTTTTGTTTGCCAGACTACTCTCTTTCCTGGTGACGACGTGACCATCAACCGAACCCAATGCCGAATTACAGAGAAGAGCAAGAAGAAGAAGAAGGACAAGGCGAAGGAAGAGGAGGAGGAGCCGCTCACCTGGGACGACTTCGCCACCCTCATGTCCATGCCCACCGAAGAAGAAGACATCAAGACCGTGTGGAAGATTCTCGACAGCGAGAAGAAGGGTACTACGCGCGCGTGTCGTGTCGTTGGTCGTGTCGTTGGTCGTGTCGTGTCGTGTGCGGTGCTGACGCACAACACGCTTGTAGGCCAGATCTCGATGGTCGATCTGTCGCAGGTGATGGAGGTGCTGAGCGGCAACACGGAGAAGCTGACCGAGGACCAGCTCGGCAAGCTCCTGCACCTGGCCGAGGCCGAGGACCAGCTCAAGCTCCGGTACCACCACTTCAAGAAGTGGTGGGTCTAGTTCTGGGCAGGCAATGGTGGCAAATGTAAATCTATTCGCACACACAAATGTAAAGGCGAGCGTCGTCGTCGTCGACGATGTGTTGATGCTAAAGATGATTGAATGATGAAGGTGATGAAGACGAAAGAGATGCTGGCTGATAGGTGGTGATGGTGATGATGAAGGTGGCGAAGACACAATGGTCCTTACATCTTCTTCATCTCGACTTCGTGGGGTGCGTGCTTCTTGCTCTGGTATTCCATCTCGGCGTGCTGTTGAGACTGGAAGCACGCCGATAAGGCCAGGTAGAAGCAGTCCACCACCATGTTCGACCCATCGGGCACGTTGAAGAAGATGTTGATGATGCACCACACGAACGAGAAGACGCACGCGCAGCAGATCATGCAGTCCTCGCACTTGGTGTTCTGTTTAACAACCGCACGACACACACACAACACGACACGACACACAACACGGCACGGCACGGCACGACACGACTCTCACGTCAGACTCGTGGCCGCGTGTGAGGAGTTAATAAGTCGGCGCGTGGGGGTACCCTGATGCCATAGGTGTTCTGGATCATGGAGCGGTTTCCGGCAATGGACAACCTATGGGCCACGGGGGAGCATGAGCACGTGGAGGAGAAAAACATAGGAAGTCGAAAAAAAAAGGAGACGAACCAGCAGCAGACGGAGACCTCCACGACCAGGCAACAGCCGGGGCAAGGCGAAGTGCACGGATCGAAGCAGTCGCCACAAATGCCTGGGGCGATAATTGATAACAATAAAAAGATTGTATTTGTTTCATCCTTATTTGGTCAATTTAATTATTAAGATTAACTCACCCGCCACAATAATCGAGCTAGGTGGTAATAATCGATTATTATTGTGGGGGCTTGATGCAGATTTAATTATTGAAAATTTAATCTCGAAAGTACCGGCACAGCAGGTGTAGTTGTCGAGGTTGTGGTTAAGGAGTTCGTAGCGCTGGCAGCCGG